TCAACAAAAACTGCTCCTCCTGCCACCAAGAAATGAACCCTAAAAGAATATTTACCTTAAAAGATAAATGCCAAGTATGTGAAAGGAGTAAATCATAAATGACTAAATCCCGAGCTGATTACCTCTACCACCTCGAAGGCTCCATTCAAAACAAAAAACCCCAAAAAGCCTCCCCCAAAAGCAAATATGCGGGGCAATTATTCTATAATCTTTCCGTCTCCCTGGAAAACCCCCACCAACATATTAAACTCATTCAAGTCTTTAAAGACAAACTAGCCAACCCCGAAATCTGAACCATGATCGAACAAGGTAAAGAATTTCAACAAAAATATCTCTTCTCGTGCCGCAACCAAAGAGGCTATTATTATCTAGTAGATTGAGAGGAGGTAAAGCATGACAATTAAACAATGCCAATACCAGCACCCTAATTGCCAAAAAACAGCCACCTACCAACATATCCTCAAACTCGGAGCAGTGAAAATAGCTCAACAATGAGTTTGCTCCAATTGCAAACAACACCTTGAAAAGGAGGCAAATAAATAACCATGAATAAAGAATACCTCCACTGATTAAAAAACAAAAATCTTTCTCCCCACACCATCGCTGTCTACCAAAGAATTATTGGCTATTATGGTCAGCCACTCACCACCACAAGCATTGCCAAATTTGTCAAGAAACTAGTCAAAAAACTCGACCCGGCTACTTGCCAACTTTACCTGGCTGCCCTCATTTCTTACAGCAAATTCCAAAAAGTTCACGAAGAGATTGAATGAGCAAAGATTAATAACCTAATCCCCAACAAGACCAAAAAATTTTACACCACCATCAACGAGCAAGAGTTAACCTGCTTAAAAAATGCCCGCTTTGAAAAGAGCGATTGAAAATACCAACGGAATAATTTAATCCTGGAATTTTTGTTTTATTCCGGATTGAGAGCCAGTGAGATGGTGAATATTCGGCATCGTGATTGGCAAGTTAACTCTTTAAGAATTCTCGGCAAAGGCAATAAGGTGAGATACACTCTTATTCCTGATTTCCTAACCAAGCATTTTAAACCAAGGTCACCAGGATACTTATTTACCAGTCAGCTAAGCAAAAAGATTACGGCTTCCCGGGTCAGGAAAGTTGTTCAAAAGAGGGTAGAATTAACTGGAATTAACAAATGAATTAGCCCTCACACTTTTCGGAGAAGTTTAGCCACTAATCTTTATAATCGAGGTGGGAGACTAGAAACTATCCAAAAGCAGTTGGGACACTCCACTATTCAAACTACTCTGGGCTATATTCACAATGATTTTAATACTTTGTATCAAGATTATAGCAAAATCTTCCAAGAGAGACCGAAAGCAAATCAATCTTTAAGGGATTATTCTACGGCTGAATTGCTGGCAGAAATCAGCCAGAGAGCAGGAGGTATTCATGCTTAAATTTAAGTTTGATTATCAAAACAACACTCTCGCTATCCACCAAGAAGGCAATCTCTGAAACGAACGAGACGAAAGCCAACAATTCGAAGGCAACTTCAACAGCCAAGGCTTCAAACTCGACACCGGCTGAATATCTTTCACGGTCTATGAAAACAAAATCCGAGTTTTCTATAAACAAATTGATAACCCCGCTTGATTTACCTATTACCGGAAAGATTTACCCAAAGAATGCCCCGTTATCTTTACCTTCACCGAAGCCGACCAAGTTGAAAAGGTCGGCAACCGATGAGTTAAAAAAGGAGGTTCTCATGC